CTTTGAATTTGTGGCAAGTGCAAATATTATAATTAGCATGAGGTAAATATATACGTATTTGAAAAGTTGCTGCTCCCTCGGCCTGCTGCGTTTGTTTTGATTGCCAGCAACAATTAATTCGCGTGAAATGGCACAAAATTTCAGCAGGCTTTTCCCCACAACTCGAGCTGAGTTTCTCTCGGCGGCTCTGTGGATCCTTTGTTACATTTAGCTGGGCGTAGCTTTTCGCTGCCCCTCTACCATCATTGCCAGTTGTTTTCTCTCTCTCTTCTCTTTCTATTTTTTCTAATTTGTGGTCTGCTCTGATTGTTGCTCTTCAGCCGGCTAATTGTGGCGAAAACTTAAGCAGCCACGTTAAGTGCTCCCCTGCCGCTGTTTAGCCATGTTCACGTTGATTTAACGCATTTGCTGTTTCTATACTCATTCACGAAAATGAAATGAGTGTATTGACATTAGGAGATCTACATTTTGATAAGGGTCTATCCTTTGGTCAGTCTGTGCAAACGAATGCAATGCATTCACAAATGGGTGGCTCAAGAATAATATATATTTATAAGAATATTCTGCAGTCGGTCATACCCGACTGCAACGTTCTCACTTGCTTTTACTTGGTCGAAAAATTCCCACCCTAATCCCTGACCCAATTAGAATACCTTTCCGAATTTCACACCAAATTTTTGTTTTTTTGTGAATTGGGTTTTGGTTCTTGTTTAAATATTTTAAAATTAGTTTTCATGTATTGCCATTGCAATCACCATTGCCAATAATTGTTGAGTTTAATCGCTTTCGTGTAATTATTTTGCAATCAAAATGTAATAAAATACTAATGAAGCACTCACATATATAAATATACATATATATATATTTATTTTTTTTTAGGTCCTGCCACATAAATTGGCATAGATTAAACAATGGAATTGTCACGTACATGGTTTTCATGTTTTCCGCAGATTTCCCTGCTCATTGTTGTGTCATGTTTTTCAGAGATTTTCCTGCTCGTTATTCTGTGGCATAATCCAATTAAATGGCAGTATGTGTATTTGTGTATTTCTAATTAATCAAATGCGGCTTCGAGCTACATGTTCTTAATTATCTCCTAGTTAGTTAGTCAAATGCAGAAGAGCGCCAGAAAACGTAATTAATTACGAAGAGCTTTGATGTAGCTTTAAGCAAATACACAGCCTAATTAGATTCACTAAAGTGAGAAACCAAAAGGAATTTTAATTACATTTATAGTGGTTTATTTTCCTTCTGGTTCATTCAAATATAATTTTAATTTTCATAGAATATTTAAATGTCTTAAAAATTAGACTAAACTCTAAATAAGAGATTTCCCTAGTTTATTAGGTAAATCCGGAATTCTGAATTCTTTATAATATGATATGCTCAAAGTAATTCTGACCCAATTGCACATATAATATGTGGGATGTGGTAATACACATTCAGAATATTTGTAAAGGTATACAGTTATACAATATTTGCTTTTATTTATACTCATATAAGAGAGAGATCTAGCTCATTTCACATTTTGAATAAATTCTTTTCATTAAATTCGCATATTTTGAATTGCGAGAAAACTTTTCTTTGTTCATAAGATGAAAGTATAATTTTGTGTTGCCTTATGGTGAGCTGTTTATGCTCCTTATGAAAGTGAATAGGGGTATATTAGTTAAAAATAATGCCCAAAAATTGAAGTGTATTAATTATAATTGTTTACGCATTTTAGATAAGAATTAATATAAAATTAAAACTAACTTAAAATGGATTAATTACAATTAAATACAGATTGTAGCGGGCAAATGTAATCAGAATTTTATTTAGCACATTTTAGAGAGTTAAAAGTAATTAAATTTATAGGTAGACACAGCTATATAATCTTGGTGAATACAAAAAAATAAAATAAAAAATAAAATACCTGCTATTTATATATAATATATAATCTTTATCAAATTAAAGCAGAGCAAATTAAACCCTCAATTACTTTCAATATTATAAAAATACATTACATAATCGTTTATACAGCTAAAGAAACCTGAATAGCTCCTGAGTAAACTGCATTCATAATATTTCCCCATTAAAACAGGTTGAGTTGTGTTTACTTTCTAGCTTGATTTTTCTATTCCTGACTGATTAATTTCCCACTCTTAACGTGGCCTAGTATACAGTTAGTAAAAGTTATGCACCAGCTACCCGCAATTGAAGTAAAGCCGCCAGCGTTTGGTTTGCCTTGGCAGATTGCGATTGAGGAAAGGGAAATCTGGAATTGAAATGAGCGCAGACCGCAGGACATCGGCTTCTCATTGCATAAATTGCATATTACGTGAAATGTGCGCGTATTACAAATAGACCAGAGAGAGAGAGAGAGAGAGAGAGAGAGAGAAAGACAGAGAGGCATACTGACAGAGCGAGACAGACAATGAGACAGCTATTATGTTGCTGTCTACGATGTCTGCATTGAGGGTATCCTGCTGCTTATGTTTCTTTCGCGGCTTGTTAGGATTTCCTTGATGCCACTGTTTGTGTGCATGTCACGGCTTACTGCCACAAATTGTTGGCCAAAAACTTTGCTGAAACAGCAACAGCTACGAGGGCTGATCCATACAGTTGCGTTGCCTAAAAGTCGATGCAGGCGAATAGAAGAAACGCCCACGAATTCTTCTACAAAATAAAAACTTTGTGCAAACTTTGAAATTTTGCAAGAATGTTTTAATTTAATTTAAAAATTTACACATTTTACTGTAAAATAACATTAACTGAAAGTTTCTTAGCAAGCAATTGCATAGCTGAATAAAATTGCTTTAGAAATCCAGTTTGAGCAGAAAATTGTCCTCTAGTGCTGAAAATTCAATATCTTAAGCAAGCTTTACGGGTAGCACAGCTCAAGTAAACACCTGCAAAGGATACCTGTTTATATGCTAGCTGAATTCAACTTGAAAATCAAATCAGCTTCAGGATTGCATCTCACATTCCAGCTCTGTTCAATCGAGATGTAATCTAGGACAATGAGCGTTCAGATATGCTTAGCTGCCTAGAATTTGGAATTCAATTTCGCTCAGATTATTTGCAAGCCTGCTGAGCATATATGCATGTATACAATATACAATATATATATATATGTATGTATTTGTGTATTGAAGTGGTCATGGGTCAAGAACCCGCAATGCCAACACGCTTTCCATTACAATCGAGTCATAAAAGCAACTCTGAAGAGGAAGAAAAGCCACATAGGCAGCGAAAAACAAAAGTCTGGGCGATGCGTCATTTCCGCTCGCAAGGGGGTTGAGGGTGGCTGTATCGAAGGGGCGTCGCTGTGGCCGGGCGGAACGTGTTGAATGCTTAGGTGTGGCCTACGGCTAGCCTGGCTCGATTGTCTTGCCAGCTTGTGGCAGCCAAATTAAGTAAGCGCAGCCTGTGTCACACTCCCAGATTCAGTGCGAGGTCCTTGACACCCGCTCTAGAGCCACCCACACTGAGCGCATGCACTTGATAAGTCGAGAGCTGTTTGCGCTCGGTAAATAATTTGGCAACTTATTGCTTTCTTTGGCTAGAATTACAAATGCAATCGATATTACTTATTTGTCTGTTATCCCCCTCAAAAAAAAAAAAAAAAAAAAAAAAAAAAAAAAAAAAAAGAAGCAAAAGTTTCAAATACTTGTTCATATTTGTCAATACCTACATACATACATATGTATATACACACATACGTATATGCTTGTGTGTGTACTATTTTATTACCAGGATAGTTGCCCCTGGTTACAGCTAGGGCATAACAACAACTATTCAACTTTTTCTCTGCCGCTTTTGGGCAAATGTCCTGAAATTTTATTTCTTTGCCTTTATTTTGTCTGTTTTTTATTAATCCTTTGTGTATTTTAACAATGAGTTATACGACAGGACAACGCTGTTCCTGCTGATTTATGCTAAGTGCTGTAAATACATTTTTATTCAACTTTTTCTGTTTGCTGATTGTTATTGTCAACTGCAGCAGTTAATTATCTCTTGTTTGCTTGCCTTCAGTTTTCAAGCACCTCGTTTCGAATTGACTTTAAAATAGCTTTGTTTTAATCTTAATTGGAAAATTACTTTTATTTTCCATTCACTTCAAGTTGACTGATTGCCCAATCAATTGCTGCACTTGGGAATTTCATTCAACTGGCAAATGGCAAAGGCAATGGCGAAGGCAACGGCAATGGCAACGGTAAACAGTTGAGCTTTGAGCATTGATAGCGGGCGTCGAAGGCAAACTGTCAGCATGAATCTTGCTCGAGCTTGTGGTTTGATTAGGTTTCATATCTTCTATTTTTACTAAGCAACAAGAGACCAGCTGCGACAGCTACCCTAAGAGAATCATATGAGAGCTTTGTGCATATGTTATGATTATAGACATGCTCGCAGTGGGGGTTCGACACCTTTGCTGTGAGACTCATTTGTAATAAAAACACATATACCAACAAAAACATAACATATGATTATACATATATATACGAGATATAAAAGACTTTATTTTATATTTTTAGTATTAACAAATAAGTACAAATATTATTCGTTTCTTAACATCCGACTAAAACAAGAATTAAATGCCACGAAAAACTCTCAAATTTAAGCGGCAAAACACTCTAAAATTTAAGCCACAAAAAACTCTCAAATTAGTGGCAAAAAGCTCCCAGCTTAATGCCACAAAAAGTTCTGTAATTAATCCTTTAAAATAGGTTTCAAGCTGCACACATTTTCACATTTCCACAATAATACAGATGTTTTTCCACATTTTCCAGCACATAAAAAAACAATAACCACATTATATTTAGCACCTCAGGTGCACAAGTTGAAAAACAAATTATTAGCCTGCAAAGTTGTTAGGCTTAGCTTGCACGTTGATCACTAAACAATTAGTCATCCAAAGCAAATATACATACATACATATGCACATATGAGCATATATCATTTAGTAATTTCACATTTGCATGTAAAATCAATAGATTGTTTGTGTGTTTTGCACCTACCTGTTGTTCCATTTTTTGATTGCGGCTGCTAATTGCAGACATTTTGAGTTGAGCTTTCTTGCAGTTTGAGCGAATAAATTGTTGTTGTTGCTACACACGTTTAGTTCACTTGGTTATTCGCAATAATTTACTATTGTGGTCCCTGTCAAATGCACTGATATACATTAGCGATCATTCATTATATTGCTGTCCTTGTCAAGCACACAGGCATGAGCCGATCGTACGCTAAGAATTCGTTCGTTTGTCTAATGTTCAGTTATGCCAAATCAGGGAACAAAATAAAATGAAATGCATTTAGCATGTATGTATATGTATGTGTGTTCATATGTGTTTGACACACATCTGTACACATTCATATTTACTCATATGTGTGTAAGTGTATTGTATGTGTGTTATGACTGTATTTGATGCTGACAGCTGCCGTGCAGCGTTTGTTGAAAAGGAAATTTATTTGAAAGCAAATGAATGCAGCAAAACAAAAAACCGAAAAATGAAAACGAAAACGAAGGCACTGAGAAGGCGCGTCTGGCTGAAAAGTAGCTCGAGCAACTATGGCAAAAACCTACAAAAACAACAACAACAACAACAACAACAACAGCGAATAAGAGTGTTCTAACCAAATGTGCTCGACTGGCGAATACCCTCCTTTTGAATTATATAGGGGTAAGTGTTGAAAATAGACGCTCACACAGCACGATCCAAAAATCTGACAAATATGTATACATATATAGAACACATATACATGCATATTCACAGTTATCTCTTGTTGTTTGCCACATAAATTTGCTCACCAAATATACCCTATTCAAACTTTATACATGGGTACACAATTATAAGCACACCTGGTTGTCTGGTACTGTTGTCGTTGTTGTTGCTTGTTGTTGTTGTTGCTTTGTTTACAATTGCAGTTTTTTTTAATAGTTGTTTGTGTTATTTCTCTGTCTAAAGCGCACGCGACAACGAATTTACATATATTTATATATGTACATATATGCATACATACATACATATGTAAGTATGTACAGAAAATACTAATCAATTATACCGGCCCGGCGGTTGCTGCTGTTCGGCATGCGATCAAATTATGTTCGGTTTGTTGTGGTCGACGATTCGTTGAGTTTTAATTTGACTTTGGCACCCGTCGCATAATTCTCAAACATTTCTATGGCAACTGTTCAATTGGTATTTACATTTTTGCACTATTTCACAAGACGTTGCAAATTTACATGCATGCATATATATATAAAAGTTTATGTGTATGCTTGCATGTGTGTGTGCGTGTGTGTGCATAGACTACACACATTCGAAGCGATAATTTTTTGGCGCGTCTTTTGATGTGATGAACGCGACGGCTTCTCCGTTAGCAAAACCAAACGCGAACGGTTCAAAACAACAACTGACGAGAACCAGTTGTAGTGGGCCACACCAGCTGCAGCAGCAGCAGCAGCAGAAGCAGCGTKTGTATGGAACGTTCCGGCAACGAAACGAATGTCAGAGCCGAACGGCGCGAAAGGACTTCGCCACATCAGTGTCGCTGTCGTCGTACAATTCGAAAGGGAGGAATGGGAAAGAGAGTTGAGTAGCACTCGCCTCGCACTCTCTCTCTCTCTCTCACTCTCTCTCTTTTCGTCAGCACTCCAGTTGTTGTACTTCCTTTACGCTTGCACTTCGCACTCAACACACGCACAGGCAGGGGCGCCGTTACTCACATCAGATTGGCTCCGGCCTGGCAGATGTGCATTGCTTCCTACCAACATATTCGAAAGGGAACTATGGCATTTTTGTTGCTGTGCGTGTGCGTGTGCGTGTGCATGTGGTTGTTTGTTAGTATGTGTGTGTGTGTCTGCATAAATGTCATTTAACGCAAGTATCTGATGCAAATCGTCTTGGCTTGCCAACTGTAAAAGCTGCTTACTCCAGTTGAGATACATTTGAGGATATTCGCATCACAAATGTCTTCATTTAAGATTATCGCTTCTAAGTAATTGTCAACTGGCATTTGCATACAGTTTGTTAAACATTGAGATTTAATTATAGAAATGGAAGCACTGAATCCTTTTAATGCAGAACTATAAAAATAGATTAAGGATATATGTATATTGATGTATAAAAATAAAAATATAATAAAACATCTTCAAGAAATACCCAATTTCTTTGTCAACAGAGATTTTCTTTTATTTATTATAAATAATATTACACTAAATTATAAATTAGATAAGCAAATAAATAGATCTTCATAATATATTTAAATAATTCGTATGCAGTTTCTTTCTTGTCATTTTCAGGTTATGTAAGACTCTCGTGATCAATCTTTATGCTTAGAAAAATCTATACTTCTTCTTTGCTTCTCCTTCGGATGGTGCAGGCGGCGGTTGTTGTTGTGGTTGTTGTCGGGGCAACAATGGAGGCGGCGTGTCCAGTGGTACCGTTGCTGGCGACAGGGGGCGTGGGGGACGCAATATCGATGTGAGCGGTGGGGTAGAATTGATATTGGGATTAGCTGCTCCATTGGCCGACGTTTCGTGGCTATCCTCCTCGATGGGACCTAGGCGTGAGCCATGCACCGATGCAAACTCCGACGGCGTCTTCACCTGTGATCCGTCCCCGAACTCACTCGCCATGTTCATGCCAATGGTGGCGCCCACCTTGGCGCTGGCTCGTTTGAAGTGATCGCTGAGCTTAATCTGGACCACATTGATGAACATGGAGGTCAGCGCGAGGCCGAAGATTAGATAGATCATGCTGACCATCACATAGAAAGGATTCGCTGGCACAAGGTCGCCGAAGCCAATCGTCGACATCGAGATGAAAACGAAGTAGAACGAACCGAAGAAGCTCCAATCGCTCTCGATGAACGTGTACCCGGCGCTGCCCAGCAGGATGTAGACAATCAGTAGCATCGTGGCCACCGATATGGGCAAATTGAATTCGTCGTCCACTTCGAAGGTTTCCAGATATGGGGACGTCGGTGTTTCCGGGTGGGAGGTGCCCAGTGATTTGCCCGCCTCTGCGTCGCCCTCGCCCTGCGACTCCAGCTCCGCAGCCGTTGCCTCCGTCATGCCGAAGAACATGCTCGGACGACGTATGGCCAGGTCGTAGACCGTATTGAATCCCGTCATCGCATCCCGCACCTGCTGCTGCCTTCGTATTTTACGACACGACCGGGTGTAATAGACCCGCCTCACATACGCCCAGAGGAACTTCACGCTGCGCGTAAACAGTTTGCCCAAATCAGCCAGGACGATCAGGAACATCGGAATACCGATGATCGCATAGATGATCGTCAGACCGCGTCCCACTTGTGTCTTGGGAGTTATGTGACCGTAACCTGAAAAGAGGATAGCGATAGATAAGTGTTGTGGTAATTAGGTATTGTAGATTGGCAATTTAATGGTATAAGAATCAAAAGATAGTATATATATTAAATTTTTACTTAAATATAATTGTTTTAAATGCAATATATAAAATTTGAAATATAATGTATACAATAAAAAATTTAAAATATAAAATATAA